CTCAACTACGGTAGTCGGAGAGAGAGCGAAAAAAAAAATTAATAAGGCAGTAGTACCTCACATTCTAGAAGCGCTTCTACCTGGCGCACATGCATAAGAAGGGCCATACCGTCGTCCCCAGGAGAGTTCCTGACGCTAATTATTGCTATGCATTCATCTACAATATGAGGCAAAGACAAAATTGTTTGAATTGACCATTTGCGTAGAGTGCCTCGATGCCCGCTTCCTACATTTGCGTAAAAATGAGCGCCACGTCTTGTGTAAACCGGAAAGCTTTGCTCGTCCTCTTGGTTGAAAACGTATGCGCCAACAAACATGCTCAAGGCAGTGTTTAGCGGTTCAGATGCGCTTGTTTCGTTGTTTGAGCGTCGAAATCACGTGTGTCGAAAGTTGGGCGAGTCGGTGACAGTCCATGATTACTTATGAAGCAGCGATATGTCCCTATCGTTGCTTTTGTGCTTGTCATCGTCCGCTGCTTCATAAGTAATCATTATCGCACCTATTATCGAAAGCAGACAGTAGAGGAGGAAAACATTCCGTTTACGTTTGTGTAAACGAGGACTTCTCGCGTTTCAGCCTGAGCAACGACAAAGCGAGGTGATACTAGCACTCTGCTACTTCCGACTGTTCGCCTCACTCATCGCGCCTGCTCCTTCAAGGATGTACGTGACTGGGCCTTCAAATGTGTGACGATGAACTAGGTTTGGTGAGCGAGGCGTGTCTGTGCGGTCCGGTGTTCACGTGACAACGGCAGGGCTCGTTGCTGTACTACGGGTCACATCACCGGAACGCACTGCGACTGCGTTGCCGGGAGATATACTTATCTATAGGTAGAGCGTACCAGAAGCGTTTCCAGTACACTTTAATATAGGCGTCTCTAGCCGAAATCACCAAAGTGTGAAATGATGATGTAAATGAATATGCGTCAATAAGCTCGTGAGTAAAACATTGTTAACGAGAGGATGCACTTTTCTAATACGCAACATTAGGCTTTTTTCCCATAACAGCAGTTTCCCTTACTGTACATAAAGCGGCTACGGATGCAGCTCCCACTATTGTGACTATTAAATTACTTGTGCTTCCATCTCAATCATGGTTCACGCAGATACTTAAGAGCGCATCATTGCGTACTAACGGCAGTGTTTGGCGGTCTGTTAGAAGCGCTGATAGACGCCAGACTGTGCGCTGCCGTACTACACTGAAAAGATGCGAAAACGTTAGTTAGGCACCCACGGCGAGCCGCGTGAGTCAAACTCCTCAGTTCCAATAAACGTTTTCTCCTCCGCCTACATTCTGTAATCCCACACGCCGTTATCCGAACATCTCACTTTTCGGCACGTATCACCACGGAGGAGAACCTGTCGAAGCAAGGCTCATTTCTCGGTTTGGATAAGTGATCATCTCTAGGTTTAGATGCGAGAAAAACCAGCGGAAACTGAAGAGGAGGATGAAGAAGGCCCATTCAATCACTGGCAATTACCGGGAGTTTTCGTAGGTTTTTCTCGCACCTTCTTCGCCATCCTTGCTCAGTAAAATAATTCGCGCAATGTGCTGGCGTATTTGCCCAAACTACGAAAGCAAGGTCGCTCGACCACGGCACACGAATGTACGGCCGGTGACCGGCCGGGCTCATTTGTTTTCCAACGAAACCCAAATGCCAGTAGATGGCGCTACCTGTGCCGCTTCTGCTCATGCGTAGTAGCTTTCCCGCAAATGGTCAGTTGTTTCTGCAAACCCTTTTAGGCGCACACACGCACGAGTGATGCACGCTCCGTTCATCTCGAGGGCGGTCACGCGAAAAAGAGAGAAAAACCATGCTTGATCTGGTATATGCAAAAACAGTTGATGAGTAGTGTGTCACGGCTTTATTTGCAGTTAAAGCCAATGCATCTTGCTTACGTAATAGCAGTGTCATTCCGTCTAGCTTAATGCTAAATATTTCGTACAAGCGGTTCCCGGCAGCGACGCTTTCTTCAAGAAAGTCGGTTCGAAAGTAAAGCAGTTAGACAAGAGTAGAAGCACGATTTATTATCCCCTTCTCCCAAAGCCACTCGTTTGTTGAAATCGTGCCTTTCTAAAAGTCATCATGGTCGCGTTCGGTGGGAACAAGAGATCGTACGCCTGTGAGAAACTTTCGGTTGGAAGGGGGGGGGGAGTCTCTTTTGTTTAACGGTTGAGCCGAACCATAATGACGACTCGAGAAACGAGTTCTTCCATTCAATCAGAGGACCCGGTTCACGGAACAGAACCTGGTGCGAATATGCCAAGCTTCGGTGCTCAGCGAAGGCCTGGTTCAGACTTTGAACGCGTAACCTATATAAGTCTCGGACTTGTTATTCCCCGACAATCGTGCTAATCGGGCCACGCAGGCGGTTGAGCCGCAACTTATGTCGAGCACGGTCTTATCGAGCGTGCTCGATAGTGGCGGCGGCTCGCCCAACCGGTTATGTATGCAGCTGCTGCCGCGGAAGAGCGGAGGTCGCTAAAGATTACCACGCTTCCGCCTGAACGTTGCACGGCAGCGCGCGCCGTTGCAGATCAAAGGGAACCGCATAATCCGACTGCAGCTGGTTTCATTTTACACGGAGATACGAGACTGAGTGAATGGCGCGTCCGCACAGCCGACGACACCGTGCGTTTTAATTTTAAATTCAGAAACCGAGCCCAATCGTTCCTTCCCTTCGCGCTACACCACGCAGCGTCTGATCACTCTCTAGACAATACAGAACTGAGTGTGGGTAATTGCGCAACTTGCCAGGGTAAGTAATCATCGTGAACTCGCTTCCCTTCGAGAATGTTGGCTGCGCTGATTAATTGATTGATATGCGGGTTTTAACGTCCCAAAACCACCATATGATTATGAGAGACGCCGTAGTGAAGGGCCCCGGAAATTTTGACCACCTGGGGTTCTTTAACGTGCACCCAAATCTGCATGAGCACACGGGCCTACAACACTTCCGCCTCCATCAGAAATGCAGCCGCCGCAGCCGGGATTCGAACCCGCGACCTGAGGGTCAGCAGCCGAGTACCTTAGCCACTAGACCACCGCGGCGGGGCAATGTTGGCTGCGCTATCTGCCGCTTACAAAACTCCCCTTAAGCACGGCACGAGAATGAAGCACCACAATTTTAAACAAATGTTTATTGCGAAAACCAAGTAAAGCGCACGAATGAATAACACGCGGAAGGACCAAGAGTGATCTCTTCTAAGTGAGTGCAGCCAGGTAGGTCTATTGACCACTCTTGAAAAACACAATTGAGGCTGCGACACTGAAAAACGATTCAGACGGCGATGTGCGCGCAGTACACGGCACTGTCTAAGTACCGCCCCCACGTCGGGAACAGACGACGCAGCGCCGTTAACAACGCGCTCTCTATCCGCGGCTGTGTAGATACGTAACCGGAAGTTTTTCGGAGGCTGGTCATATGCTGGCCCTTGCAGTAAACGCGATGTTTAGGAAATATCCGGCCGCAATGGCCCAGCGCGCAGCCGCCGGTCTGGACCGAGACTCGTCTGTCGGTTCTTTCTCTCTTCATCTCCCTCCCCTCTTCCTTCTCCTGGCAGACACTCATCTGTGCGCGGAAGAAGGATCTTCGCACAATGCGCAAAGCGCGCACGCACGCACACACATCCGGGCAACCGAGCTCGAAGAGACCGGAAACGGGCGCCATATGCTCTGCAAAGTGGCGGTTTTGTTCGCGCCGCTGTGGTTCCATTAGTTACACACGGCGTAGCAACGTGGGCTACGGCCGACGACGATGATCAATAACGGACCCATTAACAAAAAATAGAGGAAAAGGAAGTTGCCAAGCTTCGCGTCTGAGCTGCGCCAGCACGCCGTAATGACATGAACCGCAGGCCCGCCTGATTGATATTATCTGCCCATTCAAGCTTAACCTTCCATCAAAAAAAAAAAAAAAAAAAAAAACTAGAAATGCGCTCATCTCTTGTATATTTATTTTACGACGATAGCAGGAAAAGACCGACGAAACGTAATAAAAGACGCGCTCCAACAACATCAATTTTAAAAAAGTATGAGTCGCTCTAAAAACTTCGGAGAAAAAGAAAAAAGAAAGGGCGAAAGACGCTCGAGTGCGTGCGCGGCGCATAGTACACATCCCGACAGGCCGGTCGTTCCTCTCCGCTCTGGAGAACAGCTGGGGCGCATTGCTCATGCAAGAAAGGTAGAATGAGAGGGGAAAAACGGATCTGACGTCACTGCTTCTTTTGTGCTTTACGGGCGCCCTCTATTACGCTTCTTGTCACGGCATGAATAATGCACATACACAAAGCAGCTCTCCCCGAGACAGACGACTGTCGCGGTGGTCGAAACGAGAAAAATAAGAGGGCAGCAGCACGAAAACGTCCGCGAGTGGTTTCGTTTTTTTCCGTATAGTTTTTTTTTCTGCGTTCCAGAAGCCGTTAGAGCAAGATGATCAGTCAGCTTTAGGTTCGAATCAGCGTTACTGCCAACACCATACGTATGTAGCCAACATGGCGCAAAAGGATCGCATACTAAAGACTTGTTTCACGCCTACAGCATGTGCCCTTGGAACACTTCGCAGCACTATACGATAGAATTCGTCACGATGTCGAGAGCCTCAGGCAAATGCAGCTTGAACAAAACAACATCGTTTCACGACAGTCTCGGTATTTTTAATAAATTCTTCTTCTAGTGGCCTGCTTGCACCCGTCTCCACGCATGAGCCGTTAGACACCGCGCAGAACGGTGGAAGTACTCTAAAATACCCGCCTTATAAGGTACACAACTCAGGCTGTTTTGTTCCGAAAGCATGCTTTCTGCAGGAATAGGTCTTGGGGCTGCACCCAAGTCTGGACGAAAATACTCTCGGGGCATGAAACTGAGCAGAGGCAGGCGGCCCCGTCATAAAAACGTTGGGCGCCGCTCGAGGATTCATCGTCGTTCCTCGACGAGCGCCCATAATATTTACGCAACGCGGGCTGCGATGTGTGCCACGCGGTAGGAGGAGAGTACTCACTTTCTCCTTTTTGGTCTTGAGCTGATCGCACTTCCGCATCTTGCAGATCTGGTGACTGCGCACACTCCTGCACGGCCCGCACTCGCCGCAGTTATCCTTCTTGAGGCAGCCTGGGCACTCGCCGCAGCGCTTGCGTTTCTTCTTGGTGCCCTTGTCCATGGCGTCCGGCGTGCCCGGCGGCGGGGGCGCCGCCAGGCCGTTGCGCTGGTCGACCCAGGGCTCGTGCGAAGCGGGCGCCATGGGCTGGAGCAGCGTGTGCCTGGTGGTGGTGGACGACACGGAGGGCACCTGGAAGGACGGCTCTTCGCCGGAGCCCTTGTCGGCCGCGAAGAACACCGCGTGGTGCGGGGGGAAGTCGGCGAAGGGATGATGCTGCATCGGAAACGGCGGCGCCGGGTGCTGCGATGCCATCTTGTCCACGGGGGTGGGCATACGCTCGCTAGACTGCGAGCTGTCCTGGGAGCCCAGGCCCGGTGAACCACTGCCCTTGTCCTGGCCGTTACTGAACGGACGCTGGTCCTTGTCGCCGGGCCGCGCGCCCTCGAAGCCCTCCTGCTCCCAGGGCCGGTAGCCGACGCCGCCGGCGGCGGGCGTGCCGGCCCTCGGCGACGACCCGTCGCCGGGCTTGTCCAGCAGCCGCGCCGTCAGGCCTTCGTCCTTGCCGTCGTCGGGATCCTTGGGCGCGAAGCCGAAGCCCGGCGGGAAAGGAAAGCACACCTTGTTGAACTGCGACTCGAACTGCGGCGGGGGCGCGAAGGGCCCGAACTCTTGTGGCGCTGCCAGCAGCTGGTAGGGCGGTGGTCCGCCCACCATCCAGCTGTCCTGGGCCGTAAGCAGCGCCGGCGGCCCGGGCCCCGGCGCGGGTCCCTGCGGCGGCCCGGGCTCGAAGGGCCCGCCATGCAGCGCCGTCGTCGGCTGCCGCTCACTCATGGCCAGGCGGGGGGGCGCATCTGCGCATAACAACGCCAATCGTTACTGCTTTTGCACTCCTTCCTTGCATCTCACACTGAACACCACACGCGAGACAGTACATATGAAAAACGTTTTCTCATGAGCACACTGCATAGTTGCAGAAGCGAAGCGGTCGCACGCGTGCATGCAACAACAAAGATCGCTGAAGCGCACTGGAGCATACAGCCGCGGCCACGTCTGTGTAGAGCTCACGAGGAGCCGGTTATCACTATGCGGGGCGAAACCTCGAGGCAGTTTCGTGCTCTGATGTGGTCAGCCTGACAGCTAGGCTGTACATGCTTCTGATACAGCACTTCAGAGCCCAAAACTGCCTCGAGACGTGGCCGCGGCTGTACAATAGCTTCTTTTTCTTGGTATGCCAGCTGAGACAGACAAAAATGTGTGAACTCATCACGGAAAGTTTCCACCTCAATCTTTGATGAAACAGATAGCAGCGCGCAGGTACGCGCAGACAGGCTAAGGGAGCAGGCAGCCAATGCGCAAGTAGGATCGAAGGTATTATGGCTAGTCATGGCATTACACTCAAAGAAAAAATCAAGTAAAAAAAAACACCAGGCCTGCGCGGAACGCGCAGCACTGTCACAGCGAAAGCTGGAAGAGCGGCCTGTCAGCGCTTTTACCCCTTTCAGCCCTGGCGCTCTATGAAAAGGACACAAAAAAGTTTGCTGGCATCGTGATAAAATTAACTCAAACATTGACAGAGTTGTCTGCGGTATCCTTCATGCACCTGAGCAAAACATAGGCAGTAACTTTTTTGTCATCTTTTTTTTTTTGAAACTCTGCAAACTGCAAAACAAGATGGAGGAGTGCGAAAAAGACACTCGCCGCAACCGATTATTTTGTGACACCTTACTGGTTAACTGTTATATCAGAAACCATGGTTCTTCTTTAGTTTTATTTTTAAGATGCCCGACTTCCTTTTTACAAATTGTGTCTTCTCCCACACTAACGCTTCGCCCGCAGCAATGAAATCTACATATCCTAAATAAAGGACCCCCAGTGCTCGGTGGCTGTAAGAGCTCTGAAGCAATTTGGGCGAATGCAGAGCTGCAGCTATCATGAGAGCTCCCAATCTCTTGTTATTCTAGCCGAAAATGCTGCTCAAATCGCTTAGATAATAAGTAAAATGTCTCCCGTAGCAAGGAAGTGCGTAATGGATCTGAATTCGTTTTCTGCGATATATGATTGATGCGCGATGGAGCAAGAAAATGACGGCGATGAAGAGCAGTTCAATCAGCTTGCCCTGGGGGATATAGGTGGATATAATTTTGACACTGCAAAGCAACAGTCGGCAATCTTTTTTTTAATGTTGGATCTTACAGAGTGCCCAAACATTAGACAACGACAATTGAAGTGCAGTGGACGAGTTATGTATCACGAGCGCAAAGACTTGCTTTTGAACCTTGTAGGCACTGTAACTAAACCGTGGCCACTGCATGTTAGTTTCGCAACATTAGCATGTGCTAACAGAGTAGAAATACACATATGTGTTTAAATTCCCCATATTTCACTTTGCAGCCACTAAGCCCTAGTTTCCTATATATGAGACAGGGTGCTACTTTCTTGTATACTGATGGGGTGCTCGAAACAAACTATTTTCGTGCTCTTGAGGCTGTAGTAGAGCCAAATCGATAAAAAAAAACCTATGCACTTAAAAAATTCAGAGCTTAAAGGATTAACACTCTGGGTACCTGCTACAAGCACACTTGAAGAGTACCCTCTACGCCATCAATCATTGTGTAGTAGGCAGGCATTCACTATGTCATCTTTCATCATTATTCGGAGAAGCGTGGTACCCGTGCACACTTGCAAGAAATTTTGTGCAAAAAAAAAAAAAAACAAGTTTTTTGTGCTGTGGCTGACGACGATGAATAATTATGCCAAAAGCTTTTTGCAATCCGCATAGACCCCCCCACCCAACCACCCACACACACACAGAGGGTATGCGCCATAGGTAATAAGTGAACAAGATCAAGCTTTTCTAATGGGTTGGAGTTTCTAATGACCCACTTGTTGCGCAATTCGCATTGCGTGACAACTGGTTGTTCCTTTGCTGTTCTAAAACACTTCATTATTCATATTAACGCGATTTCTTTCCCGTCATCAAGCCTGCCAAAGGCCAGTTTGCAAAGAAGTCTGAAGCACCGGCGTGGCTCATTGGTAGAGTACTGTGCTGGCACGCAGAAAACCAGCGTTCGCATCCCAATGTGTCATTAGGGCTTTTCACTGACAGTTTTTGTTTTTTTTATTTCGTGTGATAGTGGTTGTGGATACCGGCGGCGGACCACTAACGGCACCGCACCCGATCGTTGTGATCTCAGGACAGCTTCCGCTGTAAAAGAGAGTCTCTTTGTGCCACAACAATAATCGTCATCTTGCGTTTCGTTGCACTATCGCCACGCGCCCGCCACTTTCAGGTCATGAACGACATGCGCGTTGCCTGCGTGTCATTGCTTTCTTGATAGGAAAGCGGCCAGCGCCAAGTTTTCAGAAAGGAAGCGCAAGCGAGCTGGGTGATGATTTTTGTTGTGGCAGAAAAGGGCCTTCTTTTTCCTCACTCTTTTTTTCAGAGTGTAGTTGTAATGACTGCTAACCCACCCTTGAAAGTGCTGAAAATAAGGAAAGGTGTCACGATTGAAAAACGGGAAATGCAGCATCTGACCTAATTGCTGCTCTATGGGATGGATGTATCAGCATGACCTTTATTACGCTTTCAGATAAACGGTCGGTATATGTACGTATGAGCAGTTGTCGGATATATGGCTCGTATTAAAAGACGACCGAAGTCTACATTGCCTTCCAGGCATAAAATGACTGCCATCATATTGACAGTCAATGATCTTTTATGGCCTATGTGAGATTGCCTTGATCGAAATTCTCAGAGTGCATACACTGTCTAAGGAACGTTTTGATATAGGGATGTAACGCACTGTCAACACACAACACTTCGCAAAGGAGAAATGCCACGAGGTTTAGAAATACTGTTAATCTTCCTTGGGGAAGGCACAACCAGCTTTTAATTTGCTTGTTTCCGCAATCGTACGCTAACAGCCCTGTCTGTTGCGAACCGTGTGTACGTGGTGTCTAACGACGTTCGCTTATTTATCAATTCGCTTAGGCGAGTACGTGATGTCGAGTGTTGAATAAAGAGACGAAGACGCCGACGACAAGACAACAAAAATTAACTAAGACGTTTCGGCACCCAGAACGGTAGCATTGCTCACAATGCTGCGCAATGCAATCTCCACGAGCATTGTGAACAAAACTCCCGATCTGGGTGCCGAAACGTCTTAGTACATTTCTATTATCTTGTGGTCGGCGTCTTTTTATTGAATGATTCTTCCCGACCAGACGGGCATCCGTCGAAGCCTTGATTTGATGCCGAATGTGTTTTGTTGCAAATCACACGAGTTAAATCACACGCGCCGCAGCGCCCCTAAAGGCCGAATAACAAGAGCTAGAATTAAAAAAAGAACATGGTAACCAACAGTAGCGCGGCACCACCGGCGAGCACAGACTTACCACGTGCCGATGACCGAGCGAACGAGCAGCCCCTCGCCAGCCTGAAGCTGTTGCCGCCGCAAAGGGGTGGGCTCGCAAAATCGGGCCGATAGAAGGACCGCTGCGTAAGCGACACACGCCGGCAGGGGGGCAACAGGCAGCAGCCAAGAGTGCGTGTGAGAGAGAGAGAAAGCGTGGTGGGGAAGCAGGAGAAGCAGAGAGGTGTTAGTTTGTGCCGGGTAAGTACGCGTTTATAAAGCAAAAAGCAGTGCCACGCGTGCCGATCGCCCGTGTAGCGTCACGTCATGGGCGCAAGACATGGCAGCCGAATTATCACACTATAGAGCATACACTGCTTTTTCACTGGTGACCCTTTTTTTCAGCTGATTACTTATCCCTGTTATCGATTTGCATACGTCTACCTGCGCCACACGGCGTGCCCGTTGCACTCGCTCACTTTTTTGTTCATAGCAGCAAACGTCCGACGGCAGGCCTACAATGTCGTTAATCTCGAACAATCTAAATGAAGTTAAAATTCTGGTCCATAGAAAAGTCTTTATCTTGGGTTAGTAACTAAGAACGCCTGCCCCTCGCCGATTGGTTTTGTGTTATTTTCATTCAATCATGCCTAGAGAAGGCGATCAATCAGCTTTACAACTTCGCACACACAAAAAAAGCTTTTTGTTTTCTTTGGCTGGCAACTGGTGCAGTATTACAATCTTTCCTCTCTGCACCTGTGGTACGCCACTAAGTGAAGGCGTCTGACGTCGTCTTAGTGCTAAAGACGCGGCATGCACCAAGCAGAAGACAGAGAAGGCGTGCACAAAGCAACGAGGAATGGGCATATATATATCATGCATGTAACATGCAACATATAAACGATCATATGCTCTGTATTAAAGTTGTGCGTGTGTGTGTATGTGTGTGTGTGCCGGAAAAAACACATTCATACCTCTACATTACACCTACCACGTCTCATGAGTAAGATCTGCACAACGCACAAGGATGCGTATGCAGAGCACCTCTGATGACACCCAAAGTCGGGCAGCGTCGACCCTGCAAGGCGACACAATTTCGGACCGGAAATAATGGGTTCCAATAAACTCGACGCGAGGGGCTCCACTCAGAAGCAAAGCTTACCGACGCGACGGCGTTTTCACGCGTCTCGCAAAGCTGATTGGGCGAGTCCTTGCCTTGCAAGCTGGTCAACTGAGCTCCTCTCGACGCTCGTTCAAGTTGGGGAGGAGTGTCAGACCCGCAGTAGCATTTACACGATGCCTCTACAGCGGCTTCCCCCCCCCCCCCCCAGCAAGCCCACTACTCGACTCGGACCTTCATCGAGTTCATGTAGACATTGCTCATGATGGCTTGTCGTTGGAAATGAGCCCCTGTCCGGCTACACCGACGATATTCTGCACGAGTGACACGATCACTGTTTGTCAAAACGCGGCAGGGAG